AACTGGAGATGTACCTGAGGGAGAGGGCCGGGCATTCAGCCAATGAAAGGCAGATAGGAATTTCAAACCAAGAGAGGGGTTTTTTCCTTCCTCTCTTCTATGTTTGAGATCAGAGCCGTTTTTTCCAGCTATGGAGGGAGTTGGGCTCTCCCAGGAATGGGCTTCTTGAAATGTGTAAGTAGGGAAAAGTTTAGATAGTCCATCAGATTTTATTGTTTTCCTTGTTTGTTTATTGTTTATTGTTTTCCTTGTTGGGGGTTTGGAAATCCTGTCTGAGCTGGTTAATTGTTTTTCTCTTTGTAACTAAGGATAACAGCCCAGGGATTTCCCCTGAGTCTATTTCACTCCATGGCTTTTTAACACCCAGTCATTTACTATGCTTGCAACAGTAGTTTTGTTTTGATAGTAAAAGTGTTTTCTTTTTTGTTTTGATTAACCGGTGTTGATTGATTGTTACGTCTTTAAGCTTATGTGCCTAATCGTCCAGGAGTTTTCCCAACTCCAAGCAAAACGGAGGTTGGAGCAGGGAGCTGAATTTTGCCTTAGGGTGGGGATTCCCAAGTGATGTCTTCCCTGGAAAAAGATTTAGTTTGTATTTGTCTTTTCTTCATGTGGATGGTGGCGGTGAGCGAATCAGTCTTTGTCTTTTTGGATCTCAGGGAGACTGAGACCAGACAAGTGTGTCTCTGGGAGTTAGAGGCAGGTTTTCCAGAGTTTATTCTAGTAGCTGGGTCCTGATCTCTGCACTCGGAGTATCAGTTTGGGGAATTGAGCCGTGATAATTGGTTTGGCGTTTAGTTCGTTGGTTGGGCTCGGCTGGTCAGAAAATGCTTTGGTTGGCTGGCTTGTTGTGTGTTGATTGGTGGGTTGCTCTACGGTTCATTTTGTGGGTTCGCTGGTGGGTTGGCTCAGTTGATGGATGAGTTTGCTGGTGGGTTAACTCATTGGTTGGGTTGGCCATGTTGACTGGTGCATTGCTTTGATAGCTCTATCTTTGTTCTTTTGTTTGCGAGGTTCTCTCCCTCGTTAATTAGTTGGCTCTGTTGTTCATTAACTCATTGGTTCTTCTTTTTCCCCCACCCCCATCCCTCCTTTTTTCAGTTAGGTTCATTCTTCCATTTGCTGTCCATTCATTCATTCGTTCCCTCTCCTTCCCCAGATGTGGTGGAGGACGTGTCTGTCTCCGGAACAAGTCGCTGGCCCCCAATGGCTGGTCCACGGCCCTCGGGCAGGGGTGCTGCAGCCCCCCCTGTCCTGGAAGACCCTGGTGCCACACTTCACAGAGACTCTGAGGTCACATCCAACCTCACACTCCAGGGTAAGCTGCAGCAGGGGGCAGGACTGTGGGTGGAGATTTCCTGGTGCTCCGCCCACTGAGAAGCTGGTTCTAACGTTGTTGCGGTCCATTCCAGACCTCGAGATCCAAGGCGAGTCCAAATCTGGCCAGCCAATCGCCAAGGACGATAACAGCAATACCTCCATTCTGATTGGCTGCCTGGTGGCCATTATCCTGCTGCTATTGGTCGTCATCTTCCTCATCCTTTGGCGGCAGTACTGGAAGAAGATCCTGGGGAAAGTAAGTGAGGTGGGGCTGCAGGAGGGGATGGTGGGGCTCTGGCAGAGCTGTATGGGGCAGGATGGGGATTACAGACCATATGCTTATACATTTCCTAATGTTTGCTGCTCTTACGTCTCGTCTGGACATAGGATCTGGATCCTACCCAGGCTATATCCATGGGGACTAGTGATTGCAGTGGGGAGGGGCGCGGTGGGAGCCAGGACTTCTGGGTTCATTCCTAACCGTGAAGAGGGCCCGGGGTGCAGTGGTCAGTGCGGGGGGCTGGCATGAGCTCTCTGTCACCCCCTTCAGGCCCAGCGGCGAATCTCCGACGACGACCTGACGGTGCAGTTGTCGGTCCCGGGCGACACCATCGTGATCAACAACACGATGGGCTCCCAACGGCATTCGAGCCGCTATGAGCGCATCCACTCGGGGGAGACAGAGTACCAGGAGCCCAGCCGCGCCCGCATGAAGCTGCCGGAGCTGCCCCACGGTGCCGAGAACTCCGGTGAGGGGCGGGGGGCAGAGGGACCCTGGGGAGGGAGGGTCCATCCAAGCATGGAGAGCTAGGGCCGAGGGCTCTGGGTGGAATGGGGTGGTAGCAGGAAGGGGCGGGAGAAAGAGGTGGGTGGGTTGACCGGTGAATGGACAGGCAGTAGGTGGATGGAGTCACGGACACATGGGCGGATAGGTAGACAGGGAAATATATAGTTTGATGGTTGGGTGGGTGAGTGGACTGGCAGGCGGATGCAAGGAGAAATAAAGGAATATGCGGCTGTAAGATGGCCGCAAGGACTGGTGGATGAAGGGAGGGAGAGATGGATGGATAGATGGAGAAACAGATAGAGGAACCGATGGACAAATGGGCCGATGGAAGAATGGATAGACAGAAGGATGGATCCATGAATGTATTAATGGGAGGGAGCAGCAAAGACCAGCAGGTAGGACAGGGTGGGAGGGGAAGGCAGCGGTAGAGATCAACGTGCCCTCTAATTTTTTTCCATCCGTGTGCGGAATAAATGTTGTTCTGTGCACCAAGGCGTATGCAGGTGGGCACCACCCATTGAGACACAGGCTGCCAGCTGTGGGAGGCTGGGGGTGCCCTGCCAGTCAGCTGGGTGGCATTTGAATTTGAACGGGCGCCCCAGTGCTCAGCTTGCAGGGACCGCTGGCGGAGATCTACGGGGATTTGGGGTGGGTGTGGGAGGAAGGAAGAGCAGGAACAGGCCAGATGGAGGCAGGAAAGCCGAGTGTGGGGGAGGGGCTGCGGGAAGGGGGACAGAGAAAGCCAGGCAGGAAAGAAGGATGAGGAAGAAATCTGGAGGGGGGGGGGAGAGAGAT